ACGGTAGCTGTTTGAGTCGATGCGCTATTAGTTTCAATGTTCGTTGTCTTTTGATTTGATTGATGGGCAGCTCTGTAGGTTGTCGGTCATGGTTGTTTATGCGTTAACCGTCACGTCTTCAGCATATATACGAATTGAAAGCCCCGGGGGAATAGAATAGAGTTTAAATTAATATGTACATCTGTATATATCAATATATGATGAGAATTCACGTGACACTCGAAACAGAGCACTCGTGATTATAGTTTCCTGCGGGTGTGTGAAGCAGGTTTTGTAATATTTGTTACGTCCGGGAAACAATCACTGTAATACATGGTTTTGGTAATATCAAGAGTCCATAATAGAGAATCCATAAATAATTTTCTATTATGGATTCTTGGTAATATATAAGTAATATACTGACTCCCCGGCCCGGATCGGCGGGCCCCCCGCAGGGTGCTACAAAATTATTTTTTTAGAAAACTTTTTAGCTTACAAAATTAGGTTAAGAAAATGGTTGCCCGGAGGAAAAAGCCACTTGCCCGAAAAACATAAAGAAATACATAAGGTTGTTTTTTCTAATATGAATTTAAATGGTAAATAACGTAAATGAAGGTCCAACTAGTCAACATCCAGCATTTCACTTAACGGCACGGTAGAAAGTTGAACAGCTGATACGAGTTTGTATACAAAATATATTCATGTTTTGAGGTTTGAGATTTACGCTTGAGATCACGTAATGGCCATACCTGGCCTGGGGGCCGGGTTGATATGTTGCTCAATGCTGTATGCATGTTTTATAAGACTGTTGCACTGATTCATTCGCATTGTTTTTTTCATTCAAATCTTGTCGCAGCAAGGCAGCGCGGTGTTGTGTCTGTACAAAACAATGGAAGGGATGGGTGGAAACAGAAAAATATCATTATATCTAGACATTCAATGAAAAAAAAAATTATCATTGTGTCTAGACATTCAATGAAAAAAAATTGCTTGCCCGAGACGGGCAAGTGCAATTTCAAGCTACTTGCCCGGGGACGCATTTTGGTTGCCCCGGGCAAGCGGGCAAGCGGGTTTGTCGCGCCCTAATAAGTTCATGATTAGATTAATGGAACATCATGTACAGTTGTAGATTATAGTGGTAAGTAGGGTGAAGGTAGATGGAAATGTTACAAATGTAAATGTTCTATAATGAGTTGCAGCAGAGACTGGGGACATTTTCTATAAAACCTGGAACACGGTCTTTTAAATTTTTATCTACTGGTCACAGAAACTCGGCTCAGCTACTGTCAAGCGCGATTAACATTGTTTAGTAATTACCGAAGAAGTCAGGGAAAATAAAAACATGCAAGTAATCACACATCCACGCACACGCACGAAGTTACGCTCCCATAGCAACTCTGAAACCCCTCTACATGTATTCCGTATTTACCCACTTGTTGGTGTAAAGTGCAATATTATATATGGCTAGCTATAAATATGTCCTCTCTCTGCGTGAAGTAGGACAGTTCTTCCCGAACCGGAGATGAAGTGGACCGAGTGTAGAACATGTGATCCCTGGTGGATTTGATCGCTTGCCAATTTATGTAGGTGACCTGGTCAAGTCACGAGTACTTTCCTTATTTGAGACGTAATGTAAGGCAGTGAAGCCACGATCGTAGTTGGTGATGAAATGCTCTGCTGGATTCTGGTGTCATCTTCCGCATCCCCATCTGCATGTGGATGTGTAAGCTACGCACAAGGGCAGCGTGCCATGCGTGGTGCGAATATTCATGATCAAACCTGCGTGCTGACTTATGTGTGACTCACATCTACCACTTGTAAAATCCTTTATATCCACCTGTTTATTTAGCCATTTCCTCGCTGCATATGGTGGCCTAAATACAGAGAGAAGAGAGGAACTGAGACAGAAAGAGAAAAAGAGGATGGGTGGATAAATTGGGGGAGGCATGGAGAAGACATGAAGGGAGGGTGTTAGGCAGGGGAGGGAGGGACGGATGGGCTGGCTGGCTGGTAGGCGGGAGGGGGTGAGAGAGGGTGGACGGGTGGGAAGTGGGGAGAAGGAAGAGTGGATGGGTGGTTAGGCGGGGCAAATGTATTTGTATGTAAGCTCACTTGTGCGCATGTGTGCGAGGCTGTGTCATATGCCGGGCAGGAGATCACGCGATCGTGTTCTCTCGCAGTGACCATGCGTGCGTTACCTGTATCTGCCCACTGCCGTACGTTCTATAGCCACGCCAAGGCCTTCCAAACGCACCTGTGAAACTCCCGCCCAGTGCAGGCTGAAAACTGGTTGCAAATTTAGGTTGTGACACATTTTTTTCTGAGCCTGCTTGCGCGCGCATGTGCACAACCGTTTGTGCACACGCACGCACGCAATCGTGTGTGTGTGTGTGTGTGTGTGTGTGTGTCTGCGCGTGCGTGCGTGCGTGTGTGCGTGCCTGTCTGCTTATGTGCGTGCGTGCGTGCGTGTGTGTGTTGGTGTTGGTGTGTGTGCGCGTGCGTGTGCGTGTGTATACGCGTAGGCAGAAATTAGGTCTGCGAGTTCAGCCAAGTGAAAGTGAAGTGATGATGTGACCTAATTTTCACTTTCTTCGCATCATTTTGGCATTGTGGTTGGGGACGACTGATCAGCAAACATCTGTGGGTAGCCTTGACATAGCCGTCAGCAGTGAATGACGTCAAAACAGGCAAGGCGCCATTTGGGTAAATCAAAGTCGTAGAAGACTCGAACGCAAATCTGGCGGCCTTGGAGTTTTACATAATGCAGGAAATGCCGGTATATATCCACGTCATGTAAATTTCTTATTAAAAAAAAAACGAATAAAGAAGAATGAAATTGTGCGAACTTGTGAATTTAGATTCGTGCACGAGCCGTGTCAAGATCATCGCTTGAATAAGAAACTTTCGAATTTCCGTGCGAGTTGAGACGCAATGAAGTCCGCGTGTGAGAAAGTCGCGCCAGCTGGATTGATTGGATTATTTTGAACGGATTAATTTCCCGTTATGAACCGGGTCCTGAATATAGGACCTTCATGAAATGCGCTGGCATGCAGATTAATACGATGTAGGCCGATATTGGTAACCTCCTCCCTCCCACTATAGCCTATTCTGCACCGCGCCCACCTGCCTGCTCGCCTTGCCTGTATCTTCGCGTTTTCTGGCATCGATAGATGTGTATCATGAGTAGATAATAGGGAATTCCCTATTATCTACTCCTGATATGTATGTATGTGTTGGCGGCGCACTGCTCACGCACTCAGTCACATCTTATATCAGGCGTGTATAATATAGATAATATCAAGAGCTCTTATTATTATTAAGGTATTAAGAGGTATTATTAGCTCTTGATAATATTGTTCTATATTATACTGCACTCCCGATCCTATCGTCTGCAGGTGCAGCTACGGTCGATATCTCCGTGATCCGCGGGTTCTCACTCGGATGTATGAAGAAGAGACTTGGAGATGTACTTAAAGGTGGGCGGGCGAGCATCACGGGGCGAATAAGTAATAGCGCGTGTTTTTCCATCGTCCGTATTCCCGGTTGTTCACGTTTTGCCCGATCACGATCTGTGCGGCGTGCGTTTGCCGCGAGCTAAATAATTCATGCTATCGTGAGGACAGGTTTTACTGTGGCCACGCGAGAGTATAGGCTCACTAATGGTAGGAATCAGTTTTTTTCCACGCGCAAATGAAAAACGTTCCAGCCAAACTGGGGAACAGCAATGTGGCCGATATCTGAATATGTACGTAATTCGTAGTTCATATGCCCCCACTCTCATAGTGGCCCTGGCCGTACCATTTTGCATTTCGAAGCAGTACATGTCACTTTCTCTCTCGAATCTACTCTCGTGTGAAGCAGTGTAGCGGAGCGTTGCGTTTTTTTTTCGTACTGGCTCGTGAGAAAATTGACTGCCACACCTCCACCGACAGCGCTTACCGCCACTTGCCCTTCTGGCTGCATGTCGCGGTGCGCGCTGCACGCCCGGCGGCAGTCTAAAATGTAATTCGGTACAACTTTTACTTTCTACTCACTCTCTGGAGTGTCCCGGATGCGTGGCCTATAGCTGGCTGTGGTTGCCGGCAGAACTTGTATGTATAGCCTGCTTAGAGCCACGGCGCGCAAGCCGCGAGGGACCTAGTGACCGAATTTCTTGTGTAACTAAGGGCCCAACGAGCCGTGTCGCGAACGAAATTCACAGCAATGAAAGCATTGAGGCTGTTCCGGCTGACTGCTTCACTTTCACCTTGAGTTGGACACAGGGAAGTAAGCCAGTGGGCTGGCTCCCTCATCAATACGCTCCGACGAGAGAGTGTACACGCCGGCCAATGAAGGCTCGGATTGCTGATATTGAGAGACATACGGCTTGCTGCATCCTCCTTCGTCGAGAGGGCGGTTCTTTCGGAGTAGTTTATGGCTAGTTGCTATTGTCTCTCAGGTAATTAGAATGTACATAGCTGTAGTGTGGAGGAAGTGAAAGTTTCGGTGTGTGCCGTTGTGGTGGTGATGGTCGTGGTGGTGGCAGTGGAAACGCTGATTGGTCCCCGAGGGTGCAGGTGGTAATGATTGCGTGAATGAACGGCATCGTAGCCAACCACAGCAGCGCCGACTTCCACCGCCCTTCACCCAGATTCCGCCGATGTAGGGCAGTGGGATACTCTAAACAATTCGCTGGCCTACATTTAAATCAGAGCAGTTAATTGAAACTTTTCAGTTTCACTTTTGCCGCGCAGCGACTGACATCCCGCTTCACTTTCTCTCTCTGTTTGACCATCTCACGCCGCGTGCGCGCGCCATGCCAGTGTCGCGGAGTAGTGCAGTATCGTAGCTGGATATATCACGGCGTAGTAGCTCCCACCGCCACCACACCGCTATGGATTACAACTCTAGCGTCATGGGCCACGCCGGCTCGTCGAGTGATAACGGCACTATGGTTACATACCCGTACCAAGACATAGACTTCTTTAGTCACGATCACCACCATGCCGCGCTCAATCACGGCATGTTTGTTATTCCTGCAGGCGGCAGCGATCCGGACGGGGAGAGCGTCTCCGACCACCAGCCGCAGCAGCAGCAGCCGCAACAGGCGCAGCAGCAGCAGCAGCTAGCGCTGCAGCAGCACTTCCCCGGCCAGTACCACAACCACCAGTACCCGTTGTCTGGCTTCAGCCCCGGCATGGCTTCGGCGGCGTCGGACTTTACGGACGCGCCCGACACGAAGGAGGACGTTGAAGAGGCGTGCCCCGTGTGCGGCGATCGCGTGTCCGGCTACCACTACGGACTACTCACCTGCGAGTCGTGCAAGGGATTCTTTAAGCGGACTGTGCAGAATAAGAAAGTGTACACGTGTGTCGCCGAGAAAAAGTGCTTGATAGACAAGACGCAGCGGAAACGTTGCCCCTACTGCCGCTTCCAGAAGTGCCTCGAGGTCGGGATGAAGCTGGAGGGTAAGGATACCTCCTCGTGTGTGTGTGTGTGTGTGTGTGTGTGTGTGTACTGTGTATTTTGACGATCTGGACCTGTGTCGTACGTACGTGCCATGCGAGTGTATGTGTGCGCATGTTGGTGCAAGTACGCGTGTGCAAGCATGTCTATATATGTGTGTGTGTGTGTGTGTGTGTGTGGTGTGTGTGTGTGTGTGTGTGCCGTGCGTAGCGTGCGTGCGTGCGTGCCTATACGCGTACGTGCGAGTGTGTGTGTGAGTGCGTACGTACGTACGTACGTACGTGCGTGCGTGCGTGCGGGCGTGCGTGTGAGTGAGTGAGTGAGTGAGTGAGTGTGTGTGAGTGCGTGCGTGCGTGCGTGTCCCAATGGATATAAGAGAGCAGTGTCTCAGTGCGTTCAAGGGCCATGCATTATCCAGCTGGAAGAATTGTTTGAGCGGTGGTGGGTGGTGGGTGCATATGTGTGTGTATGGTTATGCACGTTTGCGCGCGCATGTGTGTGTGTGTGTGTGGGGGGGGGTGCGTGCGTCTGCGTGCACGTATATGCGCGCATGCGTGCGCGCGTATGTGCGTGCATGTGTATATGTGTGCATACGCCGTGCGCGTGTGTGCTGCCGTTTTATCTTTCAGTGTATCTTCTTCGCACATGTGTCTATGTTTGTGTCTATGTTTGTGTGCTCATGTTATTGTCGTGTATATCAGCACGGTTACTTTGCTTTGATAAACGATAACATTATAATATATCGTTAGATATCATGTTTTCTTTTGCACCTGCTTCCCCTTGCACTTTACCTCTAAAACATCAATTTTATGTTATTTTTCATACCTCCCGTATGAAAAACGGGACAATCATTCGCCATTTACGCCATCTGATGGTGTAATATTACCTGTCAATGGCTGATTACTGCCTGTCGGAGGCAGAATACTCCGCCTGCACAGGCGAGTCTTTGCACAAAAGCACCCTATTTTTTCGAGCTGGGAAGCAGCAAAAAGTTTCCGTAAAGCTCCATCAGCTTTTCTTGGCGAAAGATAGCAAAAATCCCTATGCTGGCGGAGGAAGTTAAAGGTGTTCGCATATGTGCGGCACCTGTTGGTCATCCGGGATTATCTCTGTGCAGAATTTCTCGCGGCTACCTGTCCGTGATTGTTCACGCTAGCAGCAGCAGGTGACTGGGTGATGCGGCGGTGATCGCAGCTCACGTCTGCTTGCTTGTGTGGCCAGCTGTCCTCGCGTCACCTTTATCTGCTATTGTCTGTCTGGCTCCTCGTCGTCTATCCGTCGATGCGACAAAGCTACCGTCCGCATCCCACCGCACGGCGTGCACGGCCGTTTTTTTTATCCCTGGCGACGTCTGTGCGCGTGCGTGTGTGTGTGGTGTGCGCGTTCGTGGGTGTGTGTGTGTGTGTGGTGTGCGTGC